TTATGGCTACCACAACGCTCAGAAGGTCCGCCATTTTGTGTAAGGATTATGGGACCGAAGACTAGCAATAACCCCTGTGGTTGGCCTGTTACGTCAGCCTTTGATATATGATACATTTTGGCGGACATTTTACGCTGTCCGCACAACGAGGTTAAGAATTCGCAACGACGAACGTTAATCGAAAAGCAATTATTCACGACCCATCGCGTCTGATACGAATATATATCTTTTTAACATCCGACTTAAAAAAGAGATGATGAGACTTATATATAACGTCGAATACTGAAATTGCAAATTTGGTTGCGGTTCATCACCAGTCACTCGCGTTTCGCGCTTGCCTCTACCATGTTGTAGTACTATATTAAAGTAGAATGCTGCGCGCTCAACAAGTGATCAAGTTTAAGTTGAACTATTAACTTTAAATGTTGAAACGTGAAGTTGAAAGTTGGGTGCTATAACTTAATGTTAGCCGCTCAAGTTGAATGTTGAGGACTCCAGTTGATTTTTGGTTGGGATTGAACACCATAGTCCATGCTTCAAAGAGCTGATTAACAATTCTCGGAAATACAGGATGTTTTTTATTCTTCCGTCAAACCATCAAAACATGTCAAGAAACGCTATTTGATTGGTTAGTAATACAGAGTATAGTCTGGGTCACAAGACAAGAATCTCATTGTTCATTCGCAAAGCCATTCCCTTAGTCGTCAACAACTAGGCCAAAATTTTAAAAAAGTAACCTTGTTTCCGACCTTTTCCATGGATATAAAGACCTTGCTGGACAATCTTCATGATGAAGTATCCTGTTCTGTGTGTATGTGTACATTTACTGATCCAAAGCAGTTGCCTTGTTTGCACAGTTTCTGTCTTCACTGCCTGAACGGAATTCAACGAACGAGTGGCGTCCATGGCAAAATTGTATGCCCTGAGTGCGGGAGACAGTATCAGATTTCTGGGAGTGGAAATCCCAGCGAACTGCCCACCAATTTTCGAATAAATAGTTTGTTAGATGTCTTGGCAATCAAAGAGTGTAGTACAGTCAACGTCAAATGCAGAAACTGCGAGAAACGGAGCGCCCAGACCTTATATTGCTTCCAGTGTTGTTCCTTCTGGTGTGAAGAATGTGTTGTAGCACATAACATAATTCGAGAAAATAAAGACCACAGAACGCTGGCACTGAAAGATTTTCAAGATCAAGACATCCAGGCTGTATTAGAGCGACCTTCATTTTGTCAGAAGAAACACCATGAAAAAGAAGAGCTGAAGTTCTTTTGCAAGGACTGCAAAGTCGCCATTTGCAACACTTGTGCCGTAACGCTTCATGAAGGTCATGGTAAGATGCCCTTGCAAGAAGCTACCGATGAGCGCAAAACACAAATCAACTCCATGATTCGATCTTTGAAAGACAAAGTACGGGAAACACGACAGGAAGTCGAACAATTCAACCAAAAACGCATCGCAGTTCAATCGAAAGTAACCGAAGTAAAAAGCCAAGTGCAGTCTTGTGTAGATCAAATTATTGCAATCATCGAAGCGAGGAAACAAGATGTTTTTGATGCAGTGGAAAATCAAGCAAAAAAATCACTGGAATCTCTCTTACAGAAAAAAGACGAAGTGGAAAAACGAGTGAAACTAATTGAATCAGCAATTGAACAAACTGAAACTCTGTTGGAACGAAGCTTTAGTACTGAAATCCTGGGATTCAGTGAAACATTCGATACAATCCTACAGGAACAGGGCCCCCAACAAAACCTTGACACTGAATGTATTCCTCGGTTTAGTTTTACTAAAAGTGAAAAACTGATTAATTTGTTGACCAGTGAAGGAATAGGTAATTTAAAAACTGCTTTTAGCGAAACTAAAGTACAAGCAACTATAGGTAAAGAAAGCAGTAAAGTAATTGCTGGGAATAAAGCGACAAATGTTTGTGACAGTCCTTTCAAGGCTCTGGTACAAAAAAGGCGCTTCAGATCTGTGCTGTCATTTGGACAAAAAGGTGAGTCTGTTGGAATGCTTTCGCGGCCCCGGGGGTTGGCAGTGAATGATCAGGATGAAATTGCTGTGGCTGAGTTTCTGAACCACAGGGTTTCAGTGTTTAGTAGTGATGGTACCCACTTAATATCGTTTGGTAGAGAGGGTAGAAAAAATGGTGAATTTATGTACCCTACAGGGATCGCTGTCGATACTCATGGTAATATTGTAGTGGCAGACAATTATAACCACAGGGTGCAAGTCTTTGATAGGAGTGATAACTTTCTTAGAAAGTTTGGTGAAGAAGGAATTCTTGATCACCAGCTTAGGAAGCCTGAAGGTTTATCAATAAACGGTAACGGTGATATTATTGTTGCTGATAGCCATAACAAATTTATCAAGATATTCTCTTCTAGTGGGGAGTATTTACGTAAATTTGGTGGAGCAAGTACTTTTGTCAGTCCCTATCACTGTATCCAACACGGTCAATATTTTATAGTCTCAGACTGGGGGGATCATTCCATTAAAATATTTGATCTGGAGGGAACGTTTATTTCTAAATTTGGAAAACAGGGAAACAAGGATGGTGAGTTCAATAACCCCTATTACTTGTCAGTTAACAAAGAAGGTTTGTTAATGGTCTGTGATGGAAGTAATCACAGAGTTCAGGTTTTTGAACTTAATGGAACGTTTATTACAAAGTTTGGGAGTAAAGGTAGTCAGATAGGAGAGTTTTATTATCCAAGGTCTACCGCAAATCTTAGTGATGGAAGAATAGTTGTATCTGACATGGAGAACAACCGAATCCAGATTTTTGACAAGGTATAATACGATATTACCAGTGGTATTGTAATTCATTGTTAAAAAGCGGTTCGAATTGATTACCTCGAACAAAGAAAACCGGAATTTTTCGAACAACACCATCTCGTGAGGTATTTGCCACTGTTGTTTGTCTTTTCTGTGAATGTAACAATACGTTATAATAATAGCTGTAATAATAGCTGTAATAAAAGCTGAAATGACATTCAACTTGTAAATATATTTTGATATCCTTTTTTCATATGTACTGTAGTCTAATTTAATTTTCGATTATAGTTAAAGAAGGTGGTTAAATTGTTTGGTATCAAAATTGCTTTTAAACTTTTATGCTGTACATCTTTTCATTTTCTTTCCAGCAGTTGCTAGTTGTTAGCTAGTGCATTTTTTGAAGTATTAGTCCCGAACCCTTGGCTCAAGTACCATTCTTTCTCAACAGCTTCTTCAGGTCACATATATTAACCGAATCGTATAACGATTTGTTGAAAACACATTTTAAAAAGGATAATCAAAAATAAAGAATGCTTTATTGTTCAAATTTTATCGTTGTCAATGAGACCGTCATGTGTTGAAGTTGAACGTACCAGTTTACTTCATCCAAGCGTGAATGTATTTAACACGCGAGCGCTAATTGAGGACACTATTTTTACGTCTGTACTCGGAGAATGGACCACACTTTCTATGTCCAGTGATCATCCGAGTCACGTATAGGTCTACTGAGCAGTTAACGGGACAAGCAAGTACAGTCGAACCCCTCTTTAAGGACACCCACTTAATACAGATACTTTTTTTCCCCTGGTGACAATAGACCCTAGTCCATTTACCGGGGGGGTACTCGATATATCTCTGGGTGGGGAGGTGCGGCGCGGCCCCTCATACCCTGACCCTGTTTCAGACAAATATCGCTGATTTTCCTACCCTGCTTAAGACAGAATTCCGATTTTTGATACCCTGTTTAAGTCAACGGAGGTCAATATTAATTAACATTAGGACTTGCAAAAATTTTGCTGTTTATCGTCCAAGAAAAGATATCCTGTTTAAGACAAAAATTGATATATCGATACCCTGATTAAGACAAAAAATGATAAATTCGTTACCCTGTTTAAGACAAAAATCCCGAAAAACATACCCTGGCTGGCCGCACGTCCCCATTAAGCCCTTATAAGGGAGTACCCCCCGTGTCCAGTTTCTCTTAATTCAACCCCCTTAATACGGACACTTTCTATGGCTCTGTCGGGCTTTGACTGTACCTTCTTCCTTCGTTATTTTAAGACCCTCAGAGTTTGTGGAATTCCCGTTCCTGCAGTCAAACGCTCTACCGGCTGAGCTAATCTTTTCGTTTTAAGGTAGATAACTGCTAAATCTACCGTTCAGTGCATGTACTACAAGCTGTGGCTGTACGCAAGTGTAACCTCGCGTAGCAAGCGCATGAAGGGGAGGGGAGAGGAAGGACATGGGAGCAGATAAGGGTATTTTCTCCCGTCCCCTCTTCTCTCCTCTCCTCTCCCCTGAACTCCTCTACTTTCTTCTGCTCTCCTCCCCTCCCCTCCCCTCCCCTCCCCTTCCCTGTCCTCTTCTCTACTCTCCTCCCCTCCCCTTCCCTGTCCTCTCCTCTCCTCCACTCCCCTCTCCTCTCCTCCCCTCTCCTCTGAACTCCTTCCCTCTCCTCTCCTCTCCTCTCATCTCCTCTCCTCTTGTCCTTATCTTAATTTATCTTTTTAGCAATATAGGGTTCCTTATTACAGGAGTCTCGTTAATCTCCTCTATAATTCCCTCCCTACCCGTCCCTATTTTATGTACTCCACGCTGGTTAGCCCTATGGTAACCTTGAGCAATGATAACTTCTCTTCTTAACTCTTCCACATCAAGAAGTCTTCTTTATCTCTGGGAAGTGAGCCCTTGCTGGCCCTGAAAGGAACTCACGAATCGGGTATACAAGGAGCTCTAGAAAGTGTAAGTGGTTTCGTGAAAACAAGATGATCTCAGTTGAACCCTGAAAAATGCAACGCACTGTTTCTCGCGCGAAAGCCCAATGTTTGCTGAAGGTGCTGCCTTACCACTAGTTAATATAGTCAGAGAAATGTTTGGGTTAATATTGGACGATTCCCTGAATTTTGTAAAACACGTTACGTAAATTAGCACTGAAGAAAGTTGGAAAGCATCTAGATGTTCTTCGTAGACCTTATAGAATGTAGGAGGGTTAACCGTCAGCCGTCAAACTGCCTAAAATTTAACCGTAAGCCGTCGAAAAAGGTACTTTTTTACCGTCAACCGTCAAAAAGTTTCAAGGTATTTCAAAAAATGTGACTTTTTCAGCTGATCTTCTCGGACTTCTGGCTTCTGAGGAATCCGGCTCCAAACGGGAATAGTCAGTTCCCGTTTTATCATAAAACCTTACAACTTGCCTTTTTTTCAAAGTATCTCAAATTTTATCAGTGGAAAGTCCGTTTTGGTAGTTGGAGATCTCAACTGTGACCTGCTCACTAGCTCTTAAGAATCGAGAGCGCTGAATGACTTTTGTAGCAGCTTAAATATGACTCAACTTATAACAGAGCCTACAAGGGTGACTCCAACATCTGAGACTTTGATTGATGTCATCATGACTTCCAATTCAGCCTTAGTTACCGACAGTGGTGTGGTTGAAACACACATTAGCGATCATTATCTGGTTTATGCGGTACTGAATTTCAAGGCGCCGAAACCACTGCCTACTTATGTTATATCTAGAAGTTATGAGAATTACGACTCTGAGAGCTTTGTGAATGATCTTGCCCAAGTCCCATGGTATGAAAATGCTTTGATTGATGATGCTGGTGAAAAAGTAGAACATTTTAATGAGAAATTTTTGGAAGTCCTGGAGCGTCATGCGCCTGTCAGGAAAAGGAAAGTCAGAAATCGGCAATTTCCATTTCTCTTGAGATCATGCAAGACATCAAGGAGTTGATGGATGAGAGAGATCAAGTACACGGAGTTGCTCGTGAGTCGGGCGCTGTTACGGACTGGGAGCATTACCGCTGGTGTCGTAATGAGGTTAAGAGAAGGCTATGTGATGCTGAGAGGATCTATGTTCAAAAGGAGATGAATGGCAATCAGAGTAGTAATGCCGTGTGGACGGTAATACGGAACTGTATCCCGTCAAAAGAGAAATCGAGACCGGTGTACTCAAGGGATATGACGGAACTGGCGAACGAGTTCAATGAGTTCTTTACTTCTGCGGGGGCAAGGGCTGCAGCTGAATCTAAGAGGCTTGCTTCAGTTAACGTTCTTCCAGCGTATAAGCCCCCTCAGCCAAGACCTTATTCCAAACAGAGGAATTCCGATTCCGCGCATTCACCACCTTTGAAGTACATCAGATCATCTTGTCTTTTCCTTCAAACAGGGCACCAGGAAAGGATAAGTTACAGAGTGTGATCAAGGATGCCCTACCAGTTATACTTCCAGTCGTGACAGAGCTTATAAATAGGTTGCTTTTAACATCAGTTTTTCCATTTGCTTGGAAAGAGTCCGTGGTAATACCGATATTAAAGGAAGGGGATCATGAGGTTGCTAATAACAACCGGCCAGTATCACTGCTACCCGCTCTGTCTAAGATTTGCGAACGAGCAGCTCTTAATCAGTTAACGGAGTACACAACACGTCAGAACTGTAACTGAAAAGCAAAATGGAAACAAGAAGAAGCACTCGACAAAAACACTTCATATTTTCATTAGATTTCTATTGTTCATATTAGATTTTATTGTAATTGGTATGTGAAAACCCATTTTAATTGGATGTACCAATAAAGTTGATTGATTGATTGATTGATTGATTGATTGGCAGGCAGGGACAACCTCCACAACTCGAAAGTTAATATTAATTTATACAGAAGATAATATTTATACTTATAATCAGAACTCTTGGACTAAATTTCCACAGTAATAAACGTCAACTGTCAAAAGCTCAAACATTTAACCGTCCGACGAACCGTCGAACCTTGCACCCTATTAAAAGCGGCCCCCCCGGGGGGGGGTACTCCCTTATAAGGGCTTAATGGGGATGTGCGGCCAGCAAGGGTATGGTTTTCGGGATATTTGTCTTAAACAGGGTATTGATGTTATCAATTTTTGTCTTAAACAGGGTATCTTTTCTTAGACAGGAGTCCATAACCCTGTTCTTAGATTTGCACTCGGATGCTTGTGGTTTCAACTCGGCACGCATACTGAACTCAAAACTGGAGAAAGAGAAAAAAATATCAATTAAAATGAACCTCTCTGAAACGTTTCTAGATAAGTATACAAGAGAGTGAAGTTAGTTAATATATGAAAATCATATATGAGAACTGCGGGGTGAAGAATTATATGAAGGAAGATCATCGCAGTTTTCATATATCTACCTGGAGTTTTGAAAACTGGGTTACTTACAAATTTCAATTGACCTTCATCATAACGGAAAAACTAGCTTTTACTCTAATCTCATGAAGATGGTTGACTACTACGTTCTAAACTATGACTTTCCTGTAATTCATTGATTGACTCAATAGTTAATCGGTATATCGGCATAATGAAAAATAAATACGTCTCTTACTAGAATCAGACCCTTTAACAATCACAAAAACGTTTTTATTGTGCAATCAAAGACGACTATAGCCCCTCGCCGTACCTAGTTTTAACAAGAAAAAACCCTTCGAGAAAAGCATTGGTTAAATTTAGAATAAGTAGTCATCAACTTAGAATTGAAACAGGTGGATACGAAAAATCCCTCGTAATGAAAGGATATGTTCCTTTTGTACAAGTAACAAAATTGAAGATGAAAATCATTTCTTACTAGATTGTAAGGCTTATTCTCAGATCAGAGACATATTTTTCTCCAAACTAGAAACTAAAATACCTGACTTCAAATCACTTTCGCACGATACTTTAATGATCTCTTCTTATGAATTCTTCTGATTATTTAATTAACTGTCAATTAGTTTCATTTATCTCGCAGTGCTTTGAATTAAGAACCAATTTAATATCAACGAATGAATGAATGAGAACTGTAACGTTTTGTAATGTTTTGCACGTACTAATTAGTTGAATTAGTACTTAAATTTAGACTAATAGCTTTTGCAATACTGTAATTCCTTTATGGTCATGCAAATAACGCATTTGGTGTTGTTGTTGTTGTTGGGTTGCCTGAAATCTTAAGTCAAGTCCAGCACATTGCAGGCAATCTTTCAAAACGTAATTTGCTTAAAGCCGTGATGCTTTAAGTGTAAAAATAAAAATCTCCCTCTTCAGGACTAACCACCCTCAGCTTTTAACCATGGCCTCCAATACTCCGATTCTAGAAAAAACCGGAAGTTGCATGGAAGTGCGGCTTGATAGCCCGAAAATCCTTAAATAAGAGTGACCGAGACAAGGTTTTATGAGCCCGCGAGACTGAGCACTTTACCCAAATCCTTGTTTTCACTAAAACCGCTGGACGCCACAACCTGGTTGAGGTCGTTGTTACCTTGAAGGTCTTCCTAATAGCCCTCGCAGCAAATTTAAAATACAACTAACATGGCGGACGATCGGCGGACGATCAAGTCGATCTTACTCCAGAGGACATTGCTCGTGCTAGCTTTAGTGAAGAAGAGATAGTAAAAACTGACCGTTGCTCAGCTAAAGTTTTGGTTAACGTGCCTCTGTATAAATCAAAATGATAATAGGAAGGAACTGTTGGAAAGGTAGGTGTACATTATCATCCGGCTTCGCGCAATCGATCAACTGTTTACGCTGTTTATTTTCAAATAAAAGTTTACATAGTGGTTTAGACACAAGTTTTCATACAAAATTTGCTTTCTCAGGGTCAAGAACCTGCAAGCAATGAGAAGTCTAAAAATATATGACCTTGACCCTGGGAGGAGCTTCACTAAAGCAAAGGTAGCGAGACGGCAATGAAGAACTGAAGGAAAATTGGGGTGGGGGGGGGGGTTAAGTCCCTTGCTTGGTTTTAGGACTCTCCACTTAGGGTTTGAGTTCAAGAACAATAGCGGAGATGAGAGCATTCTGAGCTCTTTAGAACCTTGCAAACTTGGCAACGGCATCAGCAGATTTCCTGGTGTTCTTTCCACAGTTCTTTAGGTGTTCCACAGGCAGCCCAAGCACACTATGTGTGGGTTCGGGCTTCAGAGGTCATTTGGTCGGAATATACTAGAATTATTAGTGTATTATCTGATGCCAAATAAATGCAAGAATCTTAAAGATATGAAGTCTTCTTATTTGTCTACCTGTACTAGTAGCCTTTAAGATAACGAAGGTCGATATTCTTTCATTATTACATGTGATTTGGGCCCTTAATGTTCGAATCGAATCTACAACGCTAAGAAAAAAAATCATGATCACGCTAAATATTGATTCAAAAAGCTCCTTTACCTTTAGTTCATAACCACTCTGTGTCCTACGGCCGGTTTAAACGCTGTTTAGTCGACTTTCTTTCCATCGAGTACTGAAGACTATAAAAGAAGGGAGACCTTCCAAGACCTTCCAACGACCCTCGCCGTGCGAAGGCCAATAAATTCCAAACAAAGTGACCGATCTCCCTAAAATTGCCACCAGCGAGACCGAAGAGTGTATATCTACCCGTTCGGCGAGCGCCAGTTTCTCAATTCGGCTGCATGAGCCCGAGGAGCGCTGCATTTCGCAATGATTCTGGTCAGCTTCGCTTCGCCATGATTTGCAATCTGACTGTTATCCTACGCGTTAGCTGTTTCCGGTAGAATTAAATGCACCGGCTCCCCCGACGGTATCGGTTTGCGATAGGACAAAAGTAACGACCCTCCCTTGCAAGAGTGACGTTTTGTCGATCTGACGCGGTCGCTAAGCTTCAAGATTCGAATCTCGAATCTCGTAGGATAACGGTCATTTTCTATTGATTGAATACGGCTAAAAATTTCTTGATGAGCGTTCCATTCAGGTACAATTTTCGAAGCTTATCTAAAAAATTCCCTACGATTTTCTGAAGTTTAATTTTTCATATTTTACTCCTTATGTTTGGGCTAATTTTCTTGAAAAAAGGAAACCTAAAATTTTCGGATTCAAAAATGTGATAGAGAGGAATAAGAAAAATTTTCACTTTCGCAAAACGGTCAACTGCATCTAAATTTTTCGGAAAAATCTTGAACACTGAAGCCCTTGTAATTTCGAAAAGCCTCAAGTTCCCCTAGGATGACCGAACAGATACAAATTTTATAGCGCCGCTTAGAATGAATTTCTAGATATCTAAAAGTACTCTGGATAGCCTAAAAAGACTTTTCAATGCATTTAGGAGGAAACCGTCGCTGGGTGCCCCTGATAACGGTAGAACTAAACCTCGCTGTAATCGCACTTAAACGGCCAAAAATACTAAAGTTTATTTCAACAATAGCTGATAATACAACAAAAGATTATAGAAGAACTGGAATCCGAGTGGAGTTATAGAGGAACTGGAATCCGAGTGGAGTTATAGAGGAACTGGAATCCGAGTGGAGTTATAAGAACCACAATTCGAATAATCGGGGTAAATTTCTTTGAATTTTTTTTATTAAGGGAAAGGAAACTAAGTTCGAGTTGGGGGAAATTCGAGTTATCCAAGTTCAACTGAATTTATCGGCAGCGGCGGTTTCAAATCAACGTTACCTCGAACCTCGCTTCCTCTCCAGGCCAGAATGATTCTCAGTCTAAAATATGGTCTATGAAACAAAATAAACAGCCTGCGAGCAGAGGCCCTTCGATCTTCCAAGTTAAGCAGGTTAAGTCGCGAAGAGGAAAGTCGAGGCGGCTGGCAGAGGTCCCTTCCTCTTCCCGACTTATCTACGAGGATTGAAGGGCCTCTGCTCGCAGGGTACAAAATGGCCCATTACCGACTCAGAAAGATGGAGGTTTTTCTTCCATATGGACCCATGCATTTTATTCTTCCTGACCCATTACGTTTTCCATTGCATTTAAGCTATTACTCGGATGGCAATTCGCAAAATCTGAGCGAGGATAGATCTTTCCACTTATACTTCATTTAGCAAATTTTGATCAATCCTGACAGAGTTAATTACAGGAAAAAAAACGCAGTAATTGGAGAAAAATCCACGGTCAATTTTGCTACTGGCTTACCTACAACTCTTTACAGACTAAGTTTGTTCCTTTCGTGGTTGGAAAGAAAGCAAGCCAAAATTTCATGCGAAAGAAAGACGATAAAGTGGGCAACAAAACAAGCTATAAAAGGAAAGAAAAGATTATGTCCTAAGTGTTGGAATTTTTTTTTTAGCCATTCCATGACTGGCCGAAAAACGGTTCAAAAAGGAGGATTTGGTCCAAAATGCAGTTTTTTTCCCTAAAAACTGGCTGACGGCAAAGGGTTAAAACTAAACTAGCTAGCAAGAACAAAAACAAACGTTTCGCGATTACAAAGATAAAAACGATTATCATTGCCAACACAGTGCTCCGCACTATGAAGCCACTGGGTAGTGTTGTAAACGTCAAATCACTTTTTTTGTACAGTTCGAATAAGCTTTGTCATTTCACGTAGGCTTTTCAATTTTTTTTCTGCTATATTCTAAATAAGAAACAATTTTAAAAGGGATTTACAAGAAAGTGTTATCTTCACTTGTGACCTGTCAGTGGGCGTGAATAAGAATTTTTAAATACCGGTAAAAGAATGAACATCCTTAATGGACTTTCTCATGAAAGATTTGACATGGACATGAATCAATCGAAAATGCTTCCACAAAAGTGGAAGCTATTCTCCTTTTATGCCGAGCGCATTCAAAGTATAAGTTATCAAAAGAGTAAAACTAAATGTCATTAACAGGCAAAAAATATCATTTTCAGGTCTGTGGGTTTTGCTGACTAGAACTTAACGTTCTAGGTTATGGACTTCTGTCGCTTTTATGTCCCCCGCTAAAATCACTGGACAAAAAAATAAGATCTCCTTAGTTTCTATAAAAAAAAAAAAAATTCGGATTAAGTTCGCCAGCAGGTCAAATTAAATTCCTCTTCTAAATTGGACAGCACTTTACGTCGGCTTATCGACAAATTTAATTTAAATTAAATCCGTCTGAATTAAATTCGACGTAAACTAGAGCTGAGCTTCTAGAGAAATGCATGCAAAAGCAAGAAGACCAAAGTTCCATGTAGCAAGACATTATTTGTACTTAATAAGTTAAAATTATTGCTGTTGAATTGAATAAAATAAATATTAATGCCGGTTTTTACGACAAAAGTTTGCTAGTGAGTTTATATTGTCGCGAATTGGTGACTCTGGCTCCCCACTTATAGTTTGACGATGGGCGCGCGCGTGAATCATTTTTTTTAAAAATGGGCGTGAATAATAAATAGCCCTTAATGGAAAATTTTTCACAGCATCCATAAAAAGTCGATTTTCCACTTTCAATGTTCAAATCATTCTCCACGGTCAGAGCAAGAAGTGGGATAGTACGCAGCTCCTAAAAACCTCTAATTTTACAACAAGTTGAGGAGGTCAGTAATTGTTGTAAATTACAATGTTTATTTATGTTTGTACTTATAGTCTCGCTCGTGCCTAGAGATTCATTATGATTAGTTTTGTAGATCAAGGTTACTAATCCGTATTTGTATTGTCAAGTTTTTGAATTCAATAACCTTTTTTAAGTAGGAAATTTTTTCAGCGCAAGTGTCATTATGAGTCTGAGTGTCCTTGAAGTGGGCACGTTTTGGGATCACCGCTGACCTTGATCGTTACCTAATCAGAGTTCCTGTTTTGGCTTAAGGTAGAGCCTCGCGTGGGTATACTTGTCGGGCTTTCATTTGATTTCTTGCTTTTGACATTATTAACCTTATAGGTTTGTTTATTCCACTTTGGTGATCAACAGGAAATTAGTTTCCAAAGTGCGTTCGTAACTCTCATGGTCAGCAAGCCCGAACGTACCTACATTTAAGTTAGTTAAGTTGCCAATATTTGGCGTAGAAAGACTTTTGTGCAGTTAGTATTGTTCTAGAGTGTGTTGTTAGAAGTTGAGCTGTAGTCGTTAAGAGATGCTGTGTAGTGGAAGACATATGAGTTGCTGTGTCGAAGGATTAAGAGCACCAAGATGTAACTCAGATACCTGGTGCTTCATCGCTAAGCGAGCGAGATGCTCTAACACCCACACATAATGCTCGCAACTTTGCCTCAGAGGTAAGATAATCTTTAGAGTAAAATATACTTAGTTTTTCTTTTACAGATAGGTAAGACTAAGCACTCGGCTCACTTCTAACATCATGAATCTACAGACCTTCCAACCCCAAACTATACAAGTCTGGAGTGTTTGAAAAAAAGCCCCCAAAAACCTGGAGATTGGGTGAATATAATACAGTTTTGAGAAAACTCTGTGAAGTTTAATAGACCAAAATGTTAACAAATAATGTTGAGAATTAATAGCCACAATAAACTCCCGTTTACTCATAAACGAATCGCGAGCTATTTTCTAATTTATTATTTATTTCAATATTATAAAATAATTGGTTTTAAATTTACTCAGCTCGACGGTCCCTGCCAATTTGTTTCTTTCTGTTTTTATTTCAGTTTTGAAACTAAAATTATTAATAACTCATCTGACTTCTCCGCAAACATTTTTTTAACGTATATCGTGTTTGCAAACAATTTTGTCTTTTCAAACCTTGTTTTTTTTTTTTCCATATTTCTCATCCCCCACCTCCGGAAAAATAATGGTCCTTCCCTTATCATACTGAAAACAGACTCGAGTGAACAGTTTTAATGAAAGGCCTTCGTTTCTTTAGTGCTGCTTCCGAAATGTTCTGATTTTGAATTCTTTTGATACTATAGCTTATTCTTCACAACTTTGATTTCTTTTCTTTCTTTCTGGTGAAGAATTTGTCGCCATATAAATGATAGTCTCCAAAATCGAAATCAAGGGACATTTCGTGCAGTGGTTGTATTCACAGAGTGAGGAGTTATTATCGCAGTCACTAGCCTGCTATACTACAAAACAGTCCGTATTTTTGCGTATTCAAGTACACGCGAGCAGTCAAACAAAAGGTCTGGAACGGGCTGAAAACAGAGAGCGAGACGCCCGTGTGAGGCTCGCGCGCTTCGCACGCGTAAGACTCTTTCGCCACGCTTTACCGATTTCTTTACTGATTTTGAGGAAAAAAACCGACTGTTTTGCAGTCTACTAGCCTGTCAGCAAGTTCTCCATTTATGAGCGAAGCAATTCGCGAGAGAACTCGCGAGCGAGTGGCAAAGCCGTGAGGGGCCTTTCTTTCCCCGCCCATCACACTCGCGTCTCCTTTCGCGTGCTGCTCTCCCGTGACTTCTCGCGACTCCCCAAATGGAGAGCTTCCTTGCAGGCTGTCAGTCACAAGCAGGCTGTCAGCGGCCAGCGGTCAAGATGGCCACGTTTTTTGTTGCCCTCGTTGATTCAACAACTTTACGTAGATTTTAGACGAAATCTTCCAGGAAACCTTTTAAAAAGCAAACTTAAGCAAAAGAAGGAGAAACCATGTCTTCAAAAAGAGTTAAACTGATTGCCGAACACATGCCAGCTTTTTTATGAAAAATTTCCTAATTTACCTGTTTCACTCGCAGTTGAGGTTCATAATTAGCCCAGTTATGCTTCTTCTGATCAAATAGCTATACCTTCATTCACCGCAGCGAATAGGCCTCATCACGGTTTTCGAAGGCGTCTTGACGAATAGGCAACCGCGTGAGAAATTACAGTGTTTGTATGAGAATCTAATGTCGAATAAGTTGAATGTGAGTTGTCAGTGAGTTGTTAACTAAAGCTTCACAGCAAAGGATTTTACTCACAAATTTTCGGTGCAGTTACTGTACTTAAATTTCTCCAGACGCTTGCTTTAGATTTTTTAATTATTCTACAATTTTTCAGGGGAAATTTTAGTCGGCAGGAAGAGACATTTTTACAGACAAATGTATAGAAAATTTTCAGAAATGGTTCTACCGCTTTTCGCTGTATGTAACGCCCTCACATTTTTTTAGTAAAATCGTTAGCAATGAAGTTTTAGTTTACAATTCATATTTTTTCAGAACAGCCGTTTGAAAATTATTCGAAATTAGATTCTCATGATACAAACACTGTAATTTCTCACGCGGTTGCCTACTCGTCAAGATGGCGTAGAAAATCGTGATAAGGCCTAATAACTTTAGGAGATTTTGCCCTACTGTTATTGGAAGATTTTTTTGGATGGTATTCCTCAATCAGTCAGAGATAAACCGGCACTAAAAAGGCACTAAAAAAAGGCACTTTTGCATTGGTGTCTGGCTCAATAATAGAGAAACATCTATTTTATATTTATATTTATAGTTTCTTATATTACGTTATTTTATTAGTTGAGCAAGTTTTTGTTCGTGCCAACTTGTAAACACCGTTCAGTCACCGTTTATTGTCTTTATGTAATTAGTTTAATGACTGTTAGTACCTATTTAAGTCTTGTTTTTGTTACGCCGAGTGCAAAAAAACCTGCTAATGCAATTTTCCACTTACTTTATATTCTACATTTTTTTGTTCATACCCGAAAAGGTTGATTTCGCCAAACAGTCAAATACCAATGATGCAGGCCAAACAATGTTTTTATGTGCTTGCGCTGTTTTTGATCTGCCAGACAGCAACTCTGGGGACAAATGATACAGGTAATAAAAAACTTTCTTTGATATTAAACCCTGTTTCAAGAATAGTTTTCTTTTAAGTCAAAAGCCTCAGTTGTATAAATAAGTGTAGACAAACTCTCGGCCAATGCAGATAATGCAATAATTTTCATCTTACCAGGCATGCCTATACTTCAAACTTAGAAACTATCGATTCCTCTGAATTTCTTCTTTCATGAGGTATTATTACAGCCCCTAAAAACCTTTATTTATACAATTTTGTGGGGTCGGGGTCACACTAACCCTAACCCTAAACCTAAAACAGCATTCTTTAAAAAAAGATATACCCCTACCCCGACCCGGACCCCGACCCCGCGGTTTACTGAGACCTGTTTATATGTGGGTTAAAAACGACGTCACCGTTTTTCTAAGATTTTGCTATCTAAACTTTCCTTGTATTGCCTTGCATGGCTATAATTTGTATTCACAGCCTTCCAGATCAGCTGCAGGTGGTGTTGCTCTTTACACCAGCAAATCACTGAAAGCTGTCAAAAGAACTACATACATACATACATAAACTTTATTTATCCTCGGATTTTAGTGTAGCTTACAAAGCTAGTATCTCCGATCCTAACTAATTTTAAAAGTTACAACATATATAATATATTAATGTAGTATTAACTAAAACCGTGCACTAACAATTTGCGCTTAAATTCACTATAATCTACAGTCTTTCTAAAGTGATCAGGTAGAGAATTCCAGTACTTAACAGATGAATAGCTAAAGGAATTTAGATCATATGTGGTTGTAGACGGCTTAGGAAGTGATAAAATATTAGTACCCCGTAGGGAGTAAGCAGTAGATCTTAACTCAGTTGTTTTAAATAGCACGGATATTTACCAAAATGGAGACATTTGAATATACAAATCATCATATTTTGTATCCTCCTGTTGGCTAAACCACACACACCAGCCTTGTCTAGAAGAGCATCATAGTTCGAGTCCCAGTCCTTTAAAACAAATCTTAAAATACGTCTATTTAAGGTGTCCAGTTTGACAGAATCTTCTGAATTACAAAAGTGCCATATCATTGAACAGTAGTGAAAATGAGGTAAGATAAACGCTTTATAAAGGCGAAGCATAATTTCAGATGAGATAAGTTTGCCAAATCTTTTGAAGACACTGAACTGATTATTTATTTTTTTGCATACAGAGGATATGTGATCCTTGAAATTAAGTTCATTGTCTAGAGATATTCCAAAAAGATCCAGGCATCTTGTGGTTAAAAAGGAGAAAGGGTAATCGGTTTTGCCAAGAACCATCCCTTGATGTTTAGCACGGTTTGCTTTCATCCCATTGTCTTCGAACCATTTATTTGCTATTTGTACATCATGATTGATCCGCCGTTCCAAGGCCACTGGGTCTACATCAGATGAGTGCAGTTGGCAGTCATCGGCATAAGTGTTTAATTTTACAGAATTAATGTGAAAGATGAGGTCGTTGAGGAACATGTTGAACTGATCTTAGTGTAACTGATCAGGAATTGAAACTGTTTGGGTTGAGATTAAGAATATAAAATCAAAAAGTATTTTGTGCTGTTGTGCCTATAGGCGCCCTTCGTCCTCTCTTGAAAGATTCACTGAGCATATTAAGACCATATTGCATAACTTAGCAAGAGAAAATAAGAATATATTTATACTAGGTGATTTTAATATTAACCTACTAAATTGTGTAAACCATCCTACTTCTGAAAATTTTCTCAATATGATGAACTCTAATTACCTATTGCCTTATATTCTCCTACCAATCCGTGTAACCGATAGAGGTGCCACTTTAATTGACAACTTTTTTGCCAACACTTTCAACTTTAATGCTCTTAGTGGAATCTAGTCACCAAAATATCTGACCATTTCCTACAGTTTCTGATTATTGAAGATCATAAAGTAAATTATGCCACCCTTAACTATTACAAACATGACTATTCTCATTTCAGTGAGGAAGCTTTTGTTGACGAAGTATCTCACCTTGATTTCTCTCCTATTTACAATAGTAATTTGAACACTAATGGCAAGTTTGATCTTTTCTATGACCAAATCGATTTTGTTTGTAAGGTACATGTACCTTATAAAAGGCTTTCCAAAAAGGAGGTTAAGATATCCTCCAAACCTTGGATTACTAAAGAAATCTTTGCTAAAATGAAGTATAGGGATAAACTATATTCCAAATTACTGAAAAGTAGACAACCAAATCCTAACAACCTTCATTATCTCTATAAGAAATTTAGAAATAGGGTTGTTAAAGACCTGAAAGATGGTAAAATCTCATATTTTAATCAATATTTTTCTTTAAATAAGCATAACATGCAAAAGCTATGGTATGGTATTAGATCGATCTTAAACGTTGGTAAATGTAAAAGCAGCTACATAACCTCTATTTTAAATAACAGCAAGTCTGTTGACAATCCTAAAGACATTGCAAACATCTTTAATAACTTTTTTGCAAATGTTGGTAAAACTACAGAGAAGGGTCTCCCCCGAGGAAGTCACAGCCCTTCATTCTACCTTAAGGGTAACTACTTAGGATCAATTTTTTTATCCCCTGTCACTTCGCATGAAATCTGGACTTTTATTGGTAAAATGGATGCTAGCAAATCTTCTGGCCCATACTGTGTACCTGTTACCATTTTGAAAACTATTAGGGACTATATATCTGAGCCTCTTGCATTTTTAGTTTTTGGTGGCAATTTTCCCGAGGAATTAAAATTGGCAAGGATTACTCCTGTTTTTAGGAAAGGCTCAAGATTTGACAAAGACAATTATAGACCAATTTCTGTACTTTCCAACTTTAGTAAATAGTTTGAAAAAGCTATGTATCATCGCCTCTACAGTTATTTGGAAGAACTAAAAATACTTTATCCACTTCAGTCTGGTTTCAGAGAAAAATGTTTGACTACCCATGCTCTTATTCCTATCACTGAATCTATTCGCCAGTTCATTGATAATAATAAATTTGGCTGTGGCATATTCATAGATTTGAAAAAAGCATTCGATACTGTTAATCATGCAATCCTATTAACTAAGTTAAAACATTATGGAATAAGAGGTGTTGTGCCTGATTGGTTTAAATCTTACTTATCCCAAAGAGAACAATTTGTAAATCTTAATGGTCATAACTCACTTTCCTTACCAGTCACTTGTGGTGTTCCACAAGGATCTATTCTATGACCCCTTTTATTCTTATTATATGTAAATGATTTGCCCAATACTTCTAGCTTACTAACATTTCGTCTATTTGCTGATGATACAAATCTTTATTTTTCTAGCAAAAACCCCAGTTACCTTGAAGCAAACCTAAATCATGAACTAAAATCTGTTCCCGAATGGATGAAATGTAATCGGTTAGCTTTTAGTACCTCTAAAACTAACTTTATTCTTTTTCATTCCAGTAAACGTAAACCTAATCAGTCATTAAGAATTATAATTGATGATGCACTTATTAAACAAGTTGGCTCTACTAAGTACCTAGGCTTAACATTTGATTCCAACTTAACTTGGAAAAGTCATATTAATGAGCTTTGTTTGAAACTATCAAAAACAGTAGGTATCTTGTCAAAAGGGAGACATTTTGTTGACAACCATATTCTTGTCATGCTTTATTACTCTCTTATCTATCCTTTCCTCTGACTTACGGTGTCCATGTCTGCGGTTTAACCTTTCCCTCATTTCTAACACAATTATTTATTATCCAGAAAAAAGCTTTCAGAATAATATCTTTCTCCGAACCAAAATCCCATTCTGGGCCTCTGTTCAAATCTCTCAACCTACTTAAGCTCAATGATGTCATTGAATCACAGATACTCTCTTTTGTTTATCAGTGCTCAAGCAGACTGTTACCCCCCTGTTTCAGTGAATATTTCGAATTTACTTCTTCTGTTCATTTCTATTCAACGAGGCAATCATGTAATAGAAATCTTCATGTAACCTCAGTTAATACTACCCAATTGGCTTACGCTCCCTAAAATTCACTGGTCCTCGCCTTTGGAACTCCATGCCAACAAGTATAATTAATTCAAATCTTTTAGAATATTTCGTAAAACCCTTAATTGTTATTCTAATTAATTATCTGCCTTAGCGCATGAAGAAATACTTTTTATAAAAGATATATGTATATATATTCTGTATTCTGTCTGTAATATTGTGTTTTAATGCAGGGGTCATCCACTAGATTAGCCTTTGCTATTTGGATGATCCCAACTCGCTTTCCATTTTGTTGTTACCGTTTTACCTGTATTCCTTAGTTGTACTGTGTTTAGATGCCTATGTAAATATAAACTTTATGTCATGTAAAACTGAGCTGAGTTTAATAAATCATCTTGTCTTGTCTTGTCTTGTCTCAGAATAAATATGACTTTAATCTTTATAAGTTCTTCAAGCGATGAATTCTCACATTTGTAGAAAAACTAAAAAACAGATGTTTCTGTTGGTTTCCGGGACGCCAACATGGCGTCTCCATACCCCGGCTCCATACAAAGCTTTTTAAATATGGATAAAACGATTTCCAAATATCTCGCACATGAAATATGGCACAGACCTGATTCTAGGTAGGCCTTTTGTATATTTATCTTTTTTCACTTCCCAGATTCTGGAACTTCTGTATTGAATG